CCATACCCCGTCCGGTATGGGCGCCAAAACCATAAGATCTCCATACCCCGTCCGGCATGTGAGACCACAATCCCGGTAGGGTTCCCTACGGACCCGGTCCGTCCACCATCTCCCAGGATATCTAGTCAGGCTGACCCCCATAATACAATTATCAGTTTACACAATCTTTCATTTTTCCTTTTCCTCAATCAGCATCATCAATTCACATTTAAACAAGCAAATCGTAATTCATACCAAACAGACAACATACAGTATCAGTTTTTCAGTCATTCAACCCATAATTAATAAAAACGTAGTACATGCACACAAATCTGTAAAATGAACACATCAAACCTCATTTTGCATTTAAAGCTGTAAACAGGTCAAATAACAGTAAACCACCAATCACACTAAACTCGGGCTCCATTAGCCACCTTAAGCAATTTCACACATGCATTAATTCAAGAAATACCGTTTTATCATTTTGAACTTTAATACCGTGATAGGAAATAGGGTGAGGGGTCCTTACTTGTTTTCGGGATCCGAATACGATTCACAGTGCGCCTGCAGGCTGTCCCTAATTTTCCCCTGAATTTTTCCCGGGGAACTGAAACACGCTAACAGTACCTGCACGGGTTCCAAAAAAAATCCAAATTAGGCCCAGGGCCTCTTTCGGCCCAAATCGCAACTCCGGCACGGCGGCTCCGCCGTGCTCCGGCGACGGCGCCGCTGCTGGCGGCGGCGAGTCGCCTCGGGTTGACTGTTTTCGGCCGTTTTTGGCCGAATTCGGCCACACTCGCATTGGTCCTTGTCAGAAAACAACCCTAGGGCCCTCGGGGGGCCAAAAAATCACGGAAAAACGGAGCTTACCGGCGGCGACGCTCTCGGGTACGGCGACTCTCCGGCGAAGTTCGTGTTTTGGTGATTTGGCTTCGGTCAACCTGTAGAGAAAAGAATGGTGATCACGGTGATATAAAAATTGCATCGAACGGAGGCCGGGAAGGGCCTCGTCGGAGGCAAAAACCGAGAGGGGGCGCGGCGGTGCCGCTGGGCTTCGGCCGCGTATTCCGGCCGTTTGGCCGGGATTTCGGCTTCGATTTGGCCATAGGAGGAATCAGTGGGGAAAAACGAGTCGGGGGTATGAATTTACCTCGATCGGCGGTCGGAAATTTCCCCGATGCGGCGGCGAGTGGCGGCGGGTGGCGGCAGTCGGCCTCTGGTTCGTCTTCTCCGGCGAGCGGCTGGCGGCTAGGGTTTGTGGTCTGGTGTGGAGGTTCTATTTATAACCCCTTGCCTTTTGATCACAGCCGTTCATTTTGTTTTAATCTGGGCCGTTCGTTTTTGATTGAATCTGGGCCGTCCGTGCGATTGAATCTGGGCCGTCCGATCGCGTGATTGATCTGGGCCGTCGGATCGCACCCACGCGGATCGCCAACGTGGCTCCCTTTGGAGTGACGCGGTCTTGCCACGTGGCAGGCCCTGGTTGGCCGGGACTGCTGACCGGGCATGCTGACGTGGCTGCTGACGTGGCCGCCCTTTCTTTTTTTTTTTTTTTTTTTTTTTTTTTTTTTTTTCTTCT